GGTGAAGATTAGAGAACTGGTCCTGAGAGTACGGAACTTGATTAGGAAGATGAGGAGAATGGTAGGGATGATGAAATGGGGCGTTCTGAAGTGGGTAAGAGAAAGGACCAGTGGGAGGAGGGTAAGAGGAAGAAGGAGGCGGAAATGGCGATGAATTCAAAAGGGTAGGGTTTTGGGAGGTCGGCGGAGGGTTTGAAATGGTGGGTTTAAAGAATTTCTGGACATCAAATGGTGGATTGGTTGGATTTGGATTTGGATTCCCAGTTGAAGCCATGAAGAAGAATCAGCTGAATTGCGCAAAACCCAGATCTGCAACTCTCCGATATCAGACGAATCCGGATGATTTTGGGATCAATTTTTGGAGTGTGAAGAATCTGGAGAACAGAAACGGCGCGCGATCTGAGAAAGAGAAACAAAAGAGAAATGAAGAAAGGGAAAGAGAGAGAGAAACGAGGGGTATCGAAATTGGTATCTTGAGAAACCCAGAAGACCAGAAGAAGTGAAGAGCCAAAGACCGGAGAGACCAGGATTATATACCCGATGAAGATGGGAAGAGAAAATGGAAAATAAATAAATAATACCTTTTTTCTTTTTCTTTTTTTCTTTTTTTTGCAAATTATTTGATTTTGGCCGTCAATACTTAATTATTTTATCCAAATAAATAAACCTATCAAATTTTTTTTTTCTTTTTCGAACACATATTTTAAAAAACAAATCTAAATTTTTTTATTCAAATAATTTTTATTAAATAATAAATTTAAAAATAGTCCTCTTTAATTTTTTTTTGGATTAAATTAGTTTATATTATTTGAATTAGTTATTAAATTTTTTATTTTTAATAAAAAAGGTTAATTCGTAATATTTAATTAAAATTTATCCTCTATTTTAATATAACTTTTAAAAAATTACTTTTTAAATAGTTAAAAATTGTTTCAAAGAGAGATGGAAGAATAAATAATTAAGAAATTAAATAAATATAGGTAGTTTTTGTAATTAACCATAATTTTGGTTGATCTTTTTTTTTTTTTTTTGTTCGAAATATATATTAATTGTTATTAAAATTTTCATTAAAAAAAATTACTCATTATCTAACTTAAAAATCTTTAATCCATTAATTCTTTCTATAATTGAAGGATTGTAAGTTGCTATATATACATAAAAAAATAGAGAGTCGATGATTCAAACCTACCCAACCACTAAATTATTAGAACAGATATGTGCGGTAGCTTGACTGCTTTACTCATTACTAAAAATGAGCCAGAGACGTATCGGTATATATTCTCACCCATGTGATTGCCATTACCAATGAACAAATCTATTTGGAAACAAAAGAGCACGGGAAATATCTATATAATTCATTTTACTAAGACTCGATAGATCATTAAAGGACTAAAAACTAAAATAAAAAAAACGTGTCAAGAAGGGTTAACTCAATAATCACTCTAAAAATGAAGAATTTTTGCTTATCAAACTAGCTATATGTTGAAGATTTAGTAGAGTTATACAGTCGATATCTAAAGAATTCTTATTTCACACGATAGTTTTCGACGATTATATGTATTGTGAATATTATAACAAAATCTCACAAATTTATTTTTATAATGAGTTCTCAATACTTTTATAACAATCAAAATACTTACAAATTTTCTTTAAAGCTCGATTATATATTTTTGAGTGCAAAAGAGACAATAAGCCCGTCTAGCTCAGTTGGTAGAGCGCAAGGCTCTTAACCTTGTGGTCGTGGGTTCGAGCCCCACGGTGGGCGATTAATCTTGTTTATGTTTTAGATTTTTTTGATTTTTAGGAATGTTGGTACAAAAATTGTTACAGTTTTCTTTTAATAAATTATTAGAATTAGTATATTTTACCTCATTATAATAACTTTATTATTGTCTTCGGATAAGAAATGATTCTTGCCACACCGTCTTCAATGCTTAAGTTAGACTAGAGCTATGACAATGTAACAAGAGTTTAGAGAATCACAGTGACGTTAAATTTTCTCATCTGGAGTTGAAATGTATTTATATGTGAAACGACTTTGAGGGTTTTTTCATTTTCTCTTCCGATTAGGATTGGATGAGAAGGGTTAAACTAGGTTCAATGGCTCTTCTGCGGATCGTAGGTGTGTGAATTGCACACTCAAAGTCAAAAGAATTCACCTTAGCCCCGCCTTGGTTTGCCGTGGTCGAGGTGGGCCCATAGGCTCTTCAACATGTGGCAGATTTTGGAATCGATCCAGCCTTGGTTTAACCAATATTGGTCCTAATTTGTTTGATCTTAACCTATATTGAAGCTAATTTTATAAAATATATATTGAAATTAAGTTGCAAATTGTAAGTAAGGTCTGAAAATAAAAAATATAAATGACTCGAACCAACCCAACTCAAAAAATTCTATAGTTAGGTTGAGTTCGGTCCATCGTTATAGTCGGTTGCTCAAAAGTTATGTAATTTTATTTATTTATTTATTTTTAATTTGGATAAAAAGTAAAAATCTAACATAGGGGTATTTTCGTCCAAGAGTAATTTCAAGAATTTACTAAAAAAAAAACATTTAACCATATTTACAACTCATTCACTTGTGATGTCCTCGGTCTTTGCAATCCATTGGGCTTCAATGGGCTTGAACAAAAAGCCTTACAAGGCCCATTTGTGAGGAGACCATAACAAATACAGGCCCATCTCAAAGCCCATTAGCAGTTTATTTCTTAACATCTCTCAACTTATTGAACGTAAAATTAAAAAATTAATATTCTATTTAATAGATTAGTTAATTTTGAAAGAGAGCTTGAAGTTCCGCTAACTCTGTGGATATATATGATAGACATTTTTTGAGGAAGGTCTTATCCGTGTTGATAACTTAATTTCATAGTCTATCCCGATGTGTTGGGACAAAACTTAGATAGATTGTCGAACATTATATCTATATGGGAACTAGCTCTCTCGAGGCTTCATCTTCAACCACGAGAATGATCATAAAAGTGTTCATCATGGGTGATAATCCATTTCAAGTGTAGAGCATGCACCATCTTCACCCCGTCTAGTTGCTTGATGTTAGTGTGGACGATAGCGGGATTGAACCCTGTAATCACTAAGCGTTTTTCTAGGGGTATAGAAATGACTTTGTATTCGAAAAGAACTTTTATCTCTACAACAAAGTTGGGTACTGGTAATGACTTTTCGTATATTAAATAAATAAAAGAAAATATATATTTGAAGTATGAATCCGATGAGATTTAAAAATAAGTAATATATATATATATTCGGGTAATATCGTCCTAATTTTATTTTTTAAATAAAACAATAACATTTTTTAAATATATAACCTAGCCATATATTCATACCGACCTAATGTATATTAGGTGGCGTCTTCATAACAAAGAGATTAAAGATTTGATTTTTCAGCTTCTATTATCGATCAAAAGATTATAAGTTTGGATAAATTATCGACCAAAGGATCATAGGTGTAATAGCCTAAGCCATAAATATTGTTCTCGTTAGGTTTTTTTTTTCAAGCTTCCTTTTAAGGTTTTAAAATGCATCCACTATGGAGATGGTCTAGCCTTATTCCAACAAGTGTCTCGCCATTTTAAAACCCTGAGAGTAAGTCCAACAGGTAAAGCTCAAAGAGAACAATATCTGTGCGTGGTGGGCTTGAGCTGTTACAAATGGTATCAGAGCCGGACATTGAGCGATGTGTCAGCTGTCACAATCTGCAATACGATTGTGCCCCGAGTACGTCGAGGACGATGACTAAGTTAAGTGGGGGAAAATGTCACAACCATACTATGAAGAGAGTAGGTTGTGACCCTCACGTCATGACAAGCAAAGCGACGTCCCTCAAGAGACGCCCATCCGGCCACATGCGGGCCAATATAGAAGAGCGCCATGATGCGATCGAGGAGGACGATGCATCATCCAACACATCACCACACGAGGTGGGCATTGAAGACAAGTTGAGACATAAGCAAGACAGAGACATCAAAATAGACATGAAGGGCAAAGATAGGTCTGTTGAAGGGCCGGGTAGGGCCCCGAGCCTTAACCTCAAAAGTCGGAGTTTCAAAAAGAATTTGGGCATGTAGTTCGAGAGTTAAGTTCGTCCATATGAAATATGAATGCTCGTCAAATTTGGTGTCAATCAGACATCGGACGGACAATGCATGACACTGTATGACTGTTCACCAAAATCATGTCGGAAAATTGAAAATGACTCAAAATATACTATAGGGGTACCATGGTGTTATCTCTCCACCACCCTTGAGTCCTGTGGCCTAAGTGAGCTACCCTGTGGCACATACGTGTGTCATAATGTGGGCAAGTGTGCCGAGCGAGTTATGATGGCCGACGACATCCCGAGGCTCGGGATGGCGTCAAGACATATGGATCCTGTCGATGGAGATTGAGTTGACAAGATGAGATGCAACGTTGTATTGAGAGACCTTGGCCCGAGTAAACGCAAGGTTGAGCCGAATGACTTGATCTAGCGTAGAGATAAGTCGAATGTGTCGCAGACGATTGAACATGCACGCACAGACGACGTGTGTGGTTGAACAAACTTGGATTCCGCACAAGTGATGTTCGATTGACAAAGACAAACCTCGCCTAAGATCTTAGCCACAAAGTCGGGGTGAAAAATATATATGAGGCTTACTTCCACTTAAGACTAGTTGTGAGCATGTCAAGATCACGACCCTGCACGGTAAAAGATGTAGAACTGTGACACCACGAAGATGCTAGGTCTAAAGGAGGGTGGATTGTGAGATTTCATATTGATTGACGAAAGAAAAGAAATATCCTTTACAGACACTTCTTAAAATGTGGCGACCTTAACCAAACTTAACTATAAGTCTTAACTATATCTACTTATATCTACTAGGGGTGGGTTTAGACTAATACATTTTCAAAAAGCCCAAAATGGTTGCGTGTAAGAATGTTTCAAACTTGAAACCCTCCTCACGTAATCAAAACTCTCACGTCTTCCTCAGCCGTAGTCTAAAACCAAAACTCCTTTTGAAATACAAACCTCACTCTTCCAAACCAAATCCAAATCCAAAGTCCGTTCAAAACACTCCGATCCTCCGTCTTCCGTCTTCCTTCTTCCTCTGAATCGCTAATTCGCAACTACTGTAACCAAGATCCGGCCGGCGAAGCCACGATGTGCTGCTTCGGAAAGGTGTGCATGCTGTGCACGTGCCTGATTCTGGTGGTCGTGGCCGTCGGATTCCTCTTCGGATTCGGAGTTTTCAAAGACGGATTTCACAAGATTAAAGATAAGGCCGATTTCTGCGACGGAGGTATCTGCGGCAGTGGCGGCGGCGGCGGAAGGCCTTTCTTCGCTGCTCCGCCTCCTCGTTTCTAGGTTTTCTCCTCTTCTGTGGATCTTCGTTTCGATTTTTTTATTATTTATTTATTTTTTTTAATTTAGGGATATTATGTGCTGCTGCATATCATTCTCGTAATCGTCTTGTTTAAATTACGGTTTACACGATTTTTACTTCTTTTCTACGATAAATACTGGTTTAAATAAAATTATTGAAAAATAGGTTTTAGGACGAGATTGATTTGAAGATTTATTTATTTATTTTTTTTATTATAGGATGCAAATAATTTTTTTAAAATGTTTTGTGTTGGGAGTTTACTCTTGAACTCATACTACGAGTGGTCACTTGTGTTTTCATTATAGCTATATTGCAAACAGTATTTTTCATATTATAGTTTATATATATATTATAATTAATGAATATTATAGTTATTTATTTATAACCAAATAAATTAAAAGGATAGGAAAGATAAATAAAAAGTAAAAATATACCTAAGGTAAAAAAATACATATATATTTGCTCTATAATATAATATATATATATAGTAAACTATAATATATTATTAAATATTCTTAAAAAGAAAAATAATCTGAAATTTATAAAAAGAAATAAAGTAATATACTCGTATCTAAGAAATTTTCTTAATATTCTCCCGTTGCATCATAAAAATGAACTCTTCAAAAATAATAAATTAGAAATGACATAATAAAAAATAATAAATTAAAAATGACCCAATGACTCGAAACTTACTTTAAAAAAATATATAAAATTAAGATGCATCAGAGTGAAAAAGTCTATATTTGAAAATTTGAAATTATGAAAATATTGACTAATTGATAATTTGATTTTATAAATTCAGGATTAATATGTCCATTTACACTGAATCTCTAATATAGTAATGTGTGGTTGGGTTAATAACACTAGTGCTTTTATGGTTAAGTAAACTTTGGAAAAAATCCAGATGAGATATTTCTCACATATAATGTGAAATTATAGAATCTAATAAATGGTACGTTAGTAGGCATTTTATTGGTTAAGCATACTTATATTCCATGAAACATTGAAAGATAAAAAATTTGTTAAATATTTAATAAAATTAAGGAACTTACGGTTCAAAGTCTAAAATGAATTATTTAGGCTAATTATAAATATAAACTTATTAATTTCTAGAATACTCAATAATTGGACTACAAGGTGGCCGATCATTTTGTATTAATTAGATTTTTAACCCCGTAATCCTCAAAATCATTTAAAGTCATTTTGTTTTAATTGGATTTTTATCCTCGTAACATGGATCTAAGGTTGAATTGGATTTTGAGGAGTAGATTCAGACTAGTATCAAGAATAATTAGTAACTCGAGCCTTGTTCAATTAAATGGCTCCACTGTCGATTCGACATAATTATTTTATGTAGGATGACACGTGCCTAGTGTTCCCTGCATGTGTCATATGTGTGATATGTGATCAAGTTTAATGTGTTAGGAAAGAATGGAGGTTATCTTGCATCATTTTATTATGTCGTGATGGAAAGTATGAGGATCTCATGCATAACTGTGTGTTCATGTGTATCGGGATACTTCCCTCGTTATGTTAAATTAGTATCGATGCGTACTTTCGATATTTATGTTCGTCATGATATCATGTGGTCCTTTACCTCCTGGTGACCAACGATGCGTTAACATGTTTAACACGACTAAACCAGACCTTGGGGTACGTATACAAGCCCACATGGTGGGTCAATGTGCAGGTATAGGCCATGTGTGAGGAGTACCACACATCCAACCCTGCCCGGATTGGAAAGAGCTAAGGCCATACTATTCTATTTTAAATGATAAGTCTCACCATGTTGTATGTGTTTGTGTTTCACGTCCCCAATATTGGAGTCACTTAAGAAATACTCTTACATTTTAGGTAAAGGCAAGACACCTCTATACGAATGATGGAGGTAATGCGTGAAGACCATGGAACCGGTGTTAGGGTAGTTGCATTTCATGTTATACTCTTAGGTTAGAGCAAGACAATGTGTTATTTTCTAGTTTTTGAATATATTGTCTATTCTCGTTTCTTATATGTTTTCGTATCGATTTAAGGATTTGATTTTTAACGCACAAGTCCATGCCTTCGTTTTTGAAATATTTTAAAAGAATGTTTCCACAGTTAACAGTCATGTCATGCATATAGCAACGACTCTATTTCATTAGAAAAATAGGGTCGTTATAGATTCTATAGACTAGCTTACGACCATAGAATAAAAGTGGAAATTAGGAAACCACGATCGATAGAATATTCAAAAAACGAAGGCATGATTTAAGATGAACGTGCTATGACCATAATTAACATATTCAGTGTTATGCCTATAGAGATGAAAAGGAATGTACTGACTATAGAGATGAAAAGGAATGTACCAACATATACTGACTAGTGAGTAGTTTCAAATGAAAATAGCTACGACAACTTGATAGACAACCATATCTTATAATAAGCTATCAATTTTGTCATCCCCTATTGTTCTAAATCCTTTAGCACTCAATCAGAGAATTTCGAAACTATTTCCCCAAATTGAAAGCAATGGGGCTTCTAACACTGTGTTTCCCATCTGACCATTCCAATGTTCCGAACACATAACCTTGTTGATTTCCCTTTCCACTTCTCTGCAACACAACCCTGAAGCTCTTCTCTTCATCCATGGCGCTAAATTGCAATGTACTCGGCTCAACCACGATTGAAACTTCCAAAGGCGACGTTACTCGAGCAACATACTTCCCTGGACTTCCCACGTTCTTCACCTTTCGATTGATCGTCACAGGGCCTGTTTTCAAATCCGCGACTGAGATGGATGGATAATTAAGGTCAGTCACTTTGAATGATTTATTGCAAACGAATGTATTGTTTGAGAATTTTTTCATTTGCGTTGCATTGTAGCCTCGAGAGCACAAGAAATTTAGGTAATCGTCGATTGTAATGTCGTAAACGAGGCCAGGGTCCATCGCGCTGTTTGGATGAACATGTCCTGCGCCGTATGCTAATGGAGTTGCTATCACTCCGTCGAGGTCGACAATTGGATGTAAGCTGCTGTCTCTTGTTTTGGCTGCAGAGATGAAATTCATGGAAATTTATTTCAATTACATGAACATTTGTTTTGATATGATGCTTTTATTTGATTGTATATGATTGAACCTGTGGTCATAATTGCTGATTTAATGGCGGCTGGACTCCATTTGGGATTTAGGGTTTTGAGAAGGCCTACAATGCCAGAAACATGGGGGCAAGACATGGATGTGCCAGAGTATACCATAAAAGGACCTCGACGATCATCAACGGGCAGATTTGCCAATGGTATTCCATCGGGGTAAGCCGCAATTATATTCACACCTGGTGCTATTATATCTGGCTGATCTCAAACATGACATAACTTGTTAGTATAAATGATCTTCCTTATCTTTACAACATTAGCATGAATTTGAATTGAAACGTTTTAAAGCTTGAGAAAAAGAAACCTTGAGGATTGACTCCTCGATTATACTTGGGCCTCTTCCTGAGAACCTAGCCACGGTTGGGGCTGGCGTGACACCGAGCTTTGCCGTTACCGAACTGATGTAAGCCATGGGTGTTCTGATCAAGTATATGTTAATATGCAGGGGAAATAACAATCTTTGGAAGAGAAAAAAAAAGGAAACCTAGGGAGTTACCTTGTAGAGCTGATATATTGAGAGATGGTTATACTGTCATTATAGGTTACATGGGATGCTGGAATGATGTGTGGATCAGCTTTAATCTCATTCCCACTCTCTTCATCGTTAACCAAGATCATCCCAACCGCCCCTGCTTGAGCTGCTAAGTAACCTTTGGTCACTCTTGCAATAACCCCAACAACGCACACCACAATCTTCCCATTCAATTTGGTGGGGTCAAGTGTTCCCTCATCACACACTTCCCTGTAAGAATTCAATATAAGTGTGATGTCCCATATCGGTTGGAGAGGAGAACGAAACACCCTTTATCAGGGTGTGGAAACCTCTCCCTAGCAGACGTGTTTTAAACCCTTGAAAGGAAGCTCGAAAGGGAAAGCCAAAAGAGGACAATATCTGCTAGCGGTGGGCTTGGGCTGTTACAAATGGTATCAGAGCAAGCCCAAAGAGGACGATATGGCTTTAACGGAAAGCCCAAAAGGGAAAGCCCAAAGAGAACAATATCTGCTTTCGGTAAAGCCCAAAGAGGACAATATCTGCTTTCGGTAAAGCCCAAAGAGGACAATATCTGCATTCGGGCAACCCCAGAGAGGACAATATCCGCTAGCGATGGGTTTGGGCCGTGACAATAAGTTTATTTGGAAATTTTTAGCTGTTCATTCATTTTCTCATGTTCTTTTCAAAAAAAGGAGTAAAATACTCACGCCGCAAGTTCTGGGACATTGTTGGCTTTTGCATCCACAGCGTTGATTAAAGGGTAGAACTTGTCATCTGTTAATGCCTTAGAAGAAAGGCTTGCACCCTGGATTTTTATAGTTGGGACATAGTTAAGATAGAAAGTAGAACTCATTCAAGTTTTCTAAGTTTAGGTTGTGTTTGATATAAGTACCTTGAGTTTCTTGTTGTTCCCTAGGACTATGAAATTTGTGAACTCCCTATCAATGGTACTAGCTCCAACGGTTAACATCCATGGCGATACGTTTGATACACTTGTAGGATCTGGTCCTAAGTTTCCAGCCGAACAAACAACAACGATGCCATGCTGAACTGCATGAAAGGCCCCTATAGATAGCCCATCGTCTAGGAAGTCTGAGGGAATTGCACCAAGAGAAGCTGAGATAACGTCAACCCCATCACCAATGGCAGCTTCGAAGGCAGCTAAGATATCCACGTCAAAACACCCTCCACCTTCCGCTTCCCAACAGACCTTGTAGGACGCAACACGGGCTCGAGGTGAGCCACCTTTGGCAGTTCCATTTGCGTAGCCAAAAACATTAGCTCCAGAGACAAAGTTGCCCCCAGCCGTGGATAAAGTGTGGGTTCCGTGGCCTTGATGGTCCCTTGGAGAATTGAGGCTGCCATTGAGTGGACCATTGGCTAAGTTAAAGAACCTTGCTCCAATTAGCTTCCTGCATATATTTAAGGTATGCATTTCAAATCTACTACACCATAATGAAAGAAAACGAGATATATATTGGATGAATTGAAGCTCTTGACCTGTTGCAATGGAAGTTGGGGTCAGCGCCACTTCGACAACTGCCCAGCCACCTTGAAGGGACGGGCCCATATCCTTCGTCACTGAAGCTCTTAGATTCTGGCCAAACACCTATGTTCCAATTGCATGAAGTTACAGGAAAACACAACGGCAACATAGTCCTAACAAAAAACAATGACAGAGAACAAAAAAAAAAAAAAAAAAAAAAAAAAACGAACCTGTGTCAATGTTAGCTATAATTGCATCTTTACCAAACCTTGTAACATTCCAAATAGAGTCGGAAGGAACTCCTTGTGTTTCTAGTCCAAGAAAATCCCATGATCTTGTTGTGTGTAGTTGTCTCTCCTTATTTTCAAAAACAGAAATCACATTTGGAATTCCTACCATATATTTGTACCATGTCAGTTTCAAGCTTATTTGACCAAGGGAATAACCTATTGACTTCAAGAACATATGAACAATTTACTTGCAAGATCTGCGGCTTGTTTTTCATTGAGCATTGCGGCGAAGCCATTGATATATCTGTTGTATGAGTAGAAAATAGCTTCCTTGGCTATCTCTTTGCTGCACAATGAATGGAGAAGGGTAACAAATAGTGAGAATAATCATTGTAAGAAACCAAGCCCGATGAATCTAAAGTGCTTCACCTTCCCAACACTGATCCTAGTAAATCATAATGAGATTTTGTTACAAGTTGGAGATCCAACGAGGAAGGACTCGAACCATGAGAATGTGATCCGAGGTATACGATGTATGGCTGCATGAGAAAAAGAGAATTAGATGAAACAAATATTGAGTTTTCGAAATGGGAAATAAAACGAAAGAGTTTGCCTTTTTAGTGGCAATAGTCGATGTTTGGAGAACGGAGAAAAGAGAGAGAATGAAAAGAAATGAAGAAAAATTGGAGAGTTCCATGGCTTTTGTTTGAATGGTTTGTTTGAAACTTTTTGCATTTTATAATAACGTATTGTTGTGTAGTTCTAAATGTAAGTTCCAACTTGTTTCTAAAATTGGAGCGAGTGATTATTGTTAAGGTAACGCCATTGTGTTCTTGCAAAGTAGGTAATGGCTATAATCCATCTCACGGGGCATAAAAGGATGACGTTTTAGTCATCGACTTACACATTTAATTTAAAACAATAAAATAAAAATAACATAATATTTGAATACGAAAATGAAAGTTACCTATCAACCCCTAAATGAAAATCAATGCATATTACCATCCTATTTCGACTAACATGGTCATTCCAGCCTTCATCGTCATGGATGCTTTACGTCTACCTCAAAAATAAGGGTAGCATGTGGCTTCCATGCTTTGCCTTTACCTGAAAAATAAGGGTGTGACTTGAATATTTTAGTATATGAGGCTGGAGTATTTTAGCCATACTCATTAAGTCATCCACTACTGGGGTTAGTAATGTAATCATACACATATAATGATGAGACCTATTCTTTGAAACTATAACATTACCTTGGACTCTTTCTATTTCGTGCAGGGTTGGATGTGTGGTACTTTCACACACATGGCCCACGCACGTGCACATGGACCCACCTAGTGGGCTCGTATACTTATCCTTAATATCATAAATGAGTCTCATATAATTTTCTATAGTATTTTGAGCCTTCTAAAATCTTGAAAACAACATACAATTTTCATAAGGGTCTTTTGGTCATTTACCACCCAAAAATTTGATTTAATTCTTCAACATATTCCAATTAACTTGTAACTTTGTATAATCCCTTTACAGTATGACATAAGGCAACTCATCAAATTTCATGTTATTTAGAGGTCACTTTGGTCATAAGCTCGTGGTACATAATTGTAGGGGCATTTTAGTCATTTTAGTGATATATAATGGTCACCAAATTTCATACATAACATTATAATGTCATTTTGAGCATTCTCCTAAAATTTCATGAGAAACATAATTCATTTAGGAGATTTGTGACTCAAGCCCCTCGTTGAAATCAATGTTCATGTGGACACTAAGGTTAGCCAACTTACTCAATCTTAAGCCCCAAATCCTCACTTTTTTCTCGATGGTTCCATCAACTAGATCAATAGCTTTACTAATTTCCTGCATAACATTGTTCTACGAGTCACATTCTCTAAACTTTGCTAAAGGTTAAATAAATTTAAGTATACATCGTTTTTTACTTTTATGGTCTTAATTCAATTTTTCTCCAAGTGGTAAGTCCAAATCATTTTTTTTTTATACCGATACTTTAATTTCATATTCGCACACTTCATAGTGACAAAATATTCTTTGGACACTACCACCTTTAATATCTATAGCATACTATAAGATATTGCCATTTATCAAGCTTCCTGGGTCATTTTTATTTCATTTGAAATTACTTACTTATAAGTATACGACAGTACATTCCTTTTCATCTCTATGGTCATAATACTGCATAATTTATCTATGTTTGAGACATCTAACTGAAACATATGACATTTCTCAGCAAAATCATTATATAATAAATATAGTTTTAAGTCAACAATAACACAGTCAACTATAATATAGTCAATATTGTAAAAATTCAATTATGAGTTATAGTTTATAATGACCAAGCAGTAACAACATACGCAATCAACGACATTTCATTTTCTTATCTTACGTAAGACATACTTGACAGAGATGGGACATTGACGATGAGACCATGAAACACGCCAAGCCTACATCGTAGGCTAGTCTAGAAGATCTGTAACCTAGAGCTCTGATACCATCTATAACGACACAAAAATTTCTACTTAATTTAAGGTTGCTACTATATACATATCATGAACATTGAATGCGAAAATAATTCATTTAAACTTTTATGAAAAATCATCTTAATCTTAAAACCCAGCAATGGACTTGCATGTTTTGAGAACACCTTTAAAACGACACAACAAGACTAAATAAAATGAATAAACGTTTAAATTAAAAACATCATATTCTAGCCTAAGTCTAAGAAAATAAATGCGACTACTCTATGCATGTGCCATGGTTTTGAGTTGTAATGTCGTCGTCAGTCGTACAGGAATGCCTTGCCTTAACTTGAAATAGAAGTAGCACGTGACTTGAGTATTTGAAGAAAACTTCAGTAAGTGACCCCACTATTGGGGTTAAATGCAAGAACATGTGAATGCAATGACGGGACCTATCATAACAGTTTATTTTCCTATGATAATCTTCTAACGGGCAGTTTGGATGTGTACCATATACTCTACACACGACCTACACGTGCGAGTGTGGATCCATCAGTCGGTTTGTACACTGCTGAGCCCCTTTCCTTGTCGAGCGAGCATGCTCTGGTAGCTCTTTGTGCCGGACACCTGTTAGAAGTAGTACCGTCACGGCAGCATTATGTAAAACATAATGGTCGTTCTGATGCCTAGTAGTGTACGCGTTCGTACCATCGTGAAGGAATAGGGGTATCCCCTACTGCATGAGGTCCCAATATTTTTCCATTTTCATTATCTTTTAATACAATCTCGTTGGCGTTTCGTACATATCATATCGTTTTTTATATCATTTATCATATCTTTCATGCATACGTTAGGGTTGTATTTTATGCTAGTTCGTTGTTTTGCATGTCAATCATATCATATCATTTAGATTACATAAATATGTCAAATCATAATATTCCATGCTTCCAGACATAACAACTTTCGTCATATACATACCATACATTTCACATCACAATATATCATATTATAAACATGCCAATTTATCACATATCTCGTATTATAACATATTTCATATCATATCACAACATATATATATATATATATATATATATATATATATATATATATATATATATATATATATATATATATNATAACATATTTCATATCATATCACAACATATATATATATATATATATATATATATATATATATATATATATATATATATCCTTCGTTCACATGTCGAATCATAATTATATCATTTCGTAAACACTTCGTAGTCATATTGTTTCCATATGCATGTCCTAGCCATATCGTTTCCTAACATACCTTAGTCATATTGTTTCCTAACATATCCGAAATCATATCGTTGCATGAACGTATCCTAGTCTTACCGTTATAGTAACACATCTTAACCATATCATTTCTTGAACGTCTCATAGTCATACCGTTGCAAGAACATACCCTAACCATATCGTTCTATCAATCTATCATCACCATATCCTCGTAGTCATATCGACTTGAATTTTTGAGTTTCTAAAAATTTAACCCAACCAAAATCTAAAAAGAACTTAACGAAATCCAATTTATATGATTTAGGTTGAGTAGTTCGTTAGGTCCCGAGTCATATGAACTCTCCAATATTTATATGAAACTTTGCTAAATAAAAACATTTTAGAAAGAAAAATATTCGACAAGAGATCTCCCCATAAACAAGGTCAAACAATCTCATCACTCTCCTTTCACGAATACTTTGTCGATTGAACACACCTCAATAGGCTTTGATAGCTTTTCATGGTTAACGTAGAACACAAAATTTACTCGAAATTTATATTGTGATTTTTCATAATGCTAAGAATGAGAAATAGAAATAGAATTGAAATCGAAGGTGTGCGGTACACTTCTAATTCATCCAGAGTGTTTTGAGCTTGGTAAAATATGCTGACAGTGTCATGGTTTCCTGTGTACATCATTGCTATCGACTTTTGTATCTGAAAAATTGCTGGAGCAATCTTTTGTGAGAATTGATCGTGAAGATCAATCCACACTTGATGAGCTGTCTTGACGTGAATAATACCCTTAGCGATATCTGCTTCAACTGAATGAGTTAACCAAGATATTATCATACTGTTGCACTGGTTCCAGAGTTTAAATTCGGTCGAATTTGCATCTTGAGACGGTTCTTCAATTGTGCCATCAATGAAGCCAGTTTTCTTTTTGGCAATAAGAGCATGCATAGCTGATTTACTCCAAGATTGGTAATTTGTTCCATTTAATTTGATTGGAACGAGTGAATATCGTGACTAATCAGAGTGATGAATATAATAAGGATGTGTTAAATCAACATCCGAAATTTTGAAGCTGGATTTGGCTGATTTCGCTATAGAGAAAATTTTGATATTTAAGAATACCAAGATCGGTGCTCTAATACCATGTTAAGAATGAAAAATAGAATTGGAATCGAAGGTGTGTATTCTCATTGATATTCATAAGGTTTAAATAGTATACAAGCTAGCAACTAATACCGACCAATAATGAAAATATAAACTAATTAAATATTGAGAATAAAATAAAATATACTATATATTAAGATATAATATCTAAGATATATTCCATAAAGAATATATACTCCAAATATTATATCTCAATAATATCTCATTGAGCCCCATAAATATTATATTTCATTTAACTGTAATCAACGTCAAATACATGTTGATCAACGCGAAGAAGACAAGTTGATGCAACTACTTATGGGGCTCAATGAGTCTTATACAACGGTGAGATCTAACATATTGATGATGACTTCATTACCTAACCTGAGGCAAGCCTATTCATTACTCGTACAAGAAGAGATGGAGCGTGAGGTAACTTCTGAACCTACTAAGAATTTTTCGATTGCATTAGCAGTGCAGAAGAAAACAACATATTCAAAATTCGCCAAGGATAAATCATGTGAACACTGCAATAAAAGTGGTCATATAATTGATGAGTGTCGAATCCTTAGGTTTCACTGTAAATTTTGTGATAGAAGGGGACAGACAGAAGATCGATGTCAACAGAAAAATAATTCTAGAAGGGCAGTACAAATCAATCAATGCAACAATCGAGGATATTGATCATTTGCAAATATGACCGATATTTCTCAGTTGAATACAGAAGAATAGTCACCTAATTCCATCTTAAATTTTTCTTCAGAGCAATTTCAACAGATTGTACAAGCCTTATCTGCACTCAATC